TGAATCACCCTGTATATTTATGGGTTTAATTTAAATTAACACACTAATTACTTAATAGTAATTAGGATGCAATGAGCATTAGCAGTAATATTCCTATTCTAAAGTTTTTTAAAATGTTAATGATTTAAAGCATTATTTGGTCAACTAATTTCCTTTTTTTTTATTAATTTATGTATTTTCTTATTTTAGCATTGAAAAACGTAGTGGTGAGCGAGTGTAAAATCCACAATGACGCTAGTGTTGATATAGCTACAGACGGGACCATTTTGGTCACGCTTCTTCCATCAGGAGGATATTTAAATGTTACAAATCGATTAGGTGAGACACACTGAACGTAAAAAATAAGTTAGCTGGCTTTCGAAAATTTGCGTTTAACTCTAACAGTTGACAGGTATATAGTTTAAATAATTGCCTGAAACTGAACTGCCTTATATAATATTATAATCTTGAATACTAATATATTTTTTATGTAGGAGTGTATAGTTTAAGATGGGAAACACTAGGCCAATGTTTGTATACTACTAGTTTCGAGCAAAATGCTGTATCTGTTGCTCTGTCACCTCTAAGTCGTCATTTAGTAGTGGGCTTCGCTTCCAGGAGGGTTTCTATTGTTCCTACCGATCGCTGGGTAAGTAGCTCCATTGTCTGTATAGCAATATATTAGCAATCGTGATTCCTTGACGCTGAAGACTGTTAGGCCTTGAATGCAATATTTGGGGTTATTCTCACGCTGGATGACTTAACGAGAGCGCAATACACGATGTTTTGGAAAAATGTGTAGAACGAAGTAATCAGATCTGCTCTATAGTAATAACCTCTTAATAACAAGACCTCAGCGCTAAAATCTGAAAGATTGATGACGTCAGACAATGTAGGCCAGTTTTTCGCTCGTAAAAAATCTATTGAAAAGACCAAATCAGGTTATGATTATTGAAGCGCGATGGTTTCGTTGCCGTCGCAACTTATCTAGTCTCCTGCAAAGTGCAAAGTTATATGACTTGGAAGGTACTTTTGCGGGGTTGTCGGTTAATAATTATTTTCCCTGGCCTTTCTTAAAAAGTTGGTAGAAAAAGTACATTACCATAAGGTAAAAGTTTTATAATTGATTGTCGACAGTTTTCATTAAAATACACATAATAATTAGTGATTAATGAGATATATTAGTCTTTGAATCATACAATCGATAAAAACGTATGGCAACGCTCGTAGCTTTAAAGGTACAAGCAAAGGTATTTGTAAATTTTCTACCCTGAAGAAATTTGCCTCTTTTTTGTTTTTCTAGTGAATTTCAGTGATACAAATTATGCCCTACAAAGTTGTGTTTCGGGGTGTTGCGAAAATTTCACAAACTTCTTTGGCTCTCCGAAACCATAACAATAGTTAAAAGCGTGCACCGGAAAATTTCCAACCCAAGAGTAGTTATAAAGTGTGTGATTTTCATTTCTCAACAGGTTTTATAATTTCGGAAACATCAGAGTGAGATTCCTAATCAGGTGAAATAATTTCAGTTAATCTAAAAAGCCTGATTTAAAGGCCGATGCAATACCATAATTTCTTTTCTGTTAATATATCCTACAAATTTCCGGAAAAAAAATTATTATTTTTTTTCCTACTCTACAAGTGAGTCCTTATACGCCCTTAAAAAGAATGACGCCATCTTTGAATCACCCTGTATAAGCAGTCTAAAGATATCAGGAAGCTATGTGCTAGATTATGAATTGTATTGATACAAGATTATATAAAATAGAACACGTGTTATTCAACATACATTTTGTGACTCTTGAATATTTATTTAAATTAGGTTATGGCCCGCATATATAAGATAGAACAGAAAGACGTGCCCGGAGACAGATTACCGGTGTTACGGGAATTGGATCAACACAGAGAAAATAGAATCAACTGTATCCGATGGTTACCATCTTCTGGCCAAGGACTGATCTACGCTACTAATACGGGACAACTGGTTATTTTATCCTAAGACGTTAATTGGCAATACGACGTTAATAACGTATTGATATATGCGACTGGAATAAGGACAGGAAAACAGTCGTACATGTGTAGTTTCAAGTCACGTTGGTAATAACTTCAATCTAAAATGTTTCGGCCAGTTTTCATAACTAAGCCCAATAACTTTCCAAGATGTCTTGGTATATTTTATCTTTTGGCTTAGGGTTGATAAATGTTTTTTTTTATATAATATTTGATTCATTATATCATTTATGATATAATCATGTTCAAAATGTGTAATGTAAGTTATTAATTGTTTAATTTTGTTGTTATGGGCAACATCTTAGTCAAAACTTACAAAATAATACGAATACTGAACTAAATAGATTCAGTATTTATATTAGTAAATTAACGAAGCGTGAAGTTCTGCCCAATTCCCTATCCCTTTTCCTGTTGATTATTTTTCGTACATCAAAATCATGGAACCACCTATACCTAATTTCTTGTAAAAATATTTATTAGTTTTCTATTTGTATTTCATTAATTAGTAATCTTATGCCATGTTATAATTGAAGTGAAAGAAACATTTTGTTCAGTTCGGTTAACAGTGATAATTTTTTTAGCGATATAATAATATTAGATAAGAGAATGTTACCACAATATAATGTGGTATTTGGGAAAGTACTCAGTCGTCAAATCAAATATTCTAAGCATAAATGTGATGTTGTATGTGAGAAGGTCATCGATATTTCTTGCAATATTGTAATGTTTTTTTATATTTTTGCCAGCTTTCGATTTGTTTTAAAAAGTTTGGTTTGAAATGCATAAGTGGCATGTAAATAAAAATATGAATTTATCAAAAACAATTATAGTAAAGGAAAAAAAATTAAAAGTAATTTACTAATCACAAATTTAGTTTGAGCGATCTGTTGATTTTTTCAATTAGCCTTATTAAATACATTCGGATGTATATTTCCTATAGTTAGTTCGTAGTTTTTGCTACTCAACTTGTATGCATCAGTCATAGAGATCAGGGAGTTTTGCATTATGAGGAAATTGACTAGGGTGGAAAGTATGTCTGTTATTTGTCTAGATATGTAAAGCTTCTAATAATGACTGATTATATTTTTGTTTGACTGAATTTGTTAAAACATATGTGTATTTATAATTTGTATATTCACATTCTTAGTTCAATAAATTGATTTAAAAAAGCTTCGTTTTCATTACAATGTTGGGTATGTTTATTTCCTGTTGGAGGTGTGATAAACGGTAATTTTTCTGTAACGGATTACAGCGTTCCCGTTTCACCTTGGTAATAGGTTTCGAAATACGGTTCCAAAAGGAATATGTTACTTTTTAAATTTTTCATTAAAAATGCAGAATGATGATGGAATGGAAATAGTGATGATATATAATATTTATTAAAAACATGATTCTTAACATTGGTAAACTTAAAATAAAATATTCTGAAATAAAAAACAAAACAGGTTCGAGGTAACTACTTACAGAAGAAAAAAACTGATAATAAAAAACTAGAGTGATTAAATGAAATATACGGTTTATATGCGAAAATGTTTAACAATCTCATTTTCATTTAAAAATATTTTTTTTGCAGAGGCCTTTTACTGATTCTAGTTCTTCGCGCGTTTGTGATAGCACCCGCTTTAGAAAATAATCTTTCGCATTTCGTTTCACAATAACATTAAATAATCCACAATAACAACAACCAGAAATGCGTGTTTGGCAAACCTGGACGAAGTATTATAGAGAGTTTTTAGGCCTCTTAAAATTGCGTTGGCCTTAAACGCTCAACGTTATTCTGATCATGCGCAGTATTAAAAAAATAAG